TTTTTTTATTCAAAAATTTGAATTGTTATCGTTGATTATTTGTAATAAAAATATAATAATACCAGATAACATTTACTGCTGCAGTTTTATTGTTGTTTTTAATAGTGACGTCAGTTTAATTTAATTTTAAAAAAATTGCACATTGACCTTTTTTTTTTGTAAGTTTGGGTATTATCTTATTACTTCCTTCATTTCCGTATCGAAAATAACTTTTCCGTAAATTATAAATAAAACAAGAAAGGAAGCTACCTTCGGCCAGCCGAAGCTTATATACCCTTGCAGATAAAGTAATACTCACTCGGTGCAGTTCCAGGGATTCCAGATTAAGTGTTCCTATTTTTGAATTTTGTTTTTTAGTAGTCAAGAATTAAAACGCCTACTTCCTACAAATTAACAAGAATTTTCTTATATATGTTTCAATATTCCTATGGGAGCCTTAAGATGTAGTGGTCCGATCCGGCTGGCTCCGACATATGTACTACCTGCAATAGAAAGAAGACTTTCGGGAAAGTTTCATCGCGATAGCTTTAAAACTGAGAGACTAGTTCGCATAGAAACGGACAGACGGACAGACGGACATGGCTAGATAGACTCGGCTATTGGTGCTGATCAAGAATATATATACTTTATGTGGTCGGAAACGTCTCCTTCACTGCGTTGCAAACATCTGACTGAAATTATAATACCCTCTACAAGGGTATAAAAATGTATTTTTTTGTTTGTGAAAAGGATGATTTACACCAAACGCTGTGGGATTTGGCTACGTTGAAATTTCGAATACAAATTTTTCAGAAATATGACCAGTAAATGTAAGTAACTTTCTGCTTTTACACTTTTAAAAAATATTGATTTTTGGAGAAGTTACATTAAAGAACAAATCGTTCGTCACATTACCCTACAACTTTTGAAAGTGCAAAAAAAAAAGGGTTCACGCCCAGCACTGTGGGATTTGGCTGCATTGAAATTTCGAATTCAAATTTTACAGGGATATGCTCAGTAGATGTAAGCAACTTTCTGCGTTTGCACTTTTAAAAAATATTGATTTTTAGAAAAGTTACATTCAAAAAACGAATCGTTCGTCACCTTACCCTACACTCCCCTACTGAATACCTTATTAACATGTTAAACTATTAAATTAAAAGCAAAACAGCCATCAATTGAGGAATAGAGGTAAAGAAATACTCATTAAAAATCGATAAGAAAAAGTGTCCCGAGGGAATGTGTCCATTAGGGTGGACTTATTTTGTATGAAATTTCTAAGGCCATGCTCTCACCCCTTCATATATAGCCTTTTTGTATCCTTAATCCATTAAAGAAAGAAAAAGTAAAAAATAAATAGTTTTAGGCGGTGCGCAACGGCTTTAAAGTTTATTACGCATATTTCAGATTCATCTAGATGCCGTAGACTTAATTTTATACTTTGACAGTATTTTAAAAAGTATCTTAATCACTTTCCCGAGCTTTTTAACAAAGGATGAAGTCTTTGATAAAATTCGAGTCCCTGGGAGACAATTACAACTTAAAAATAACAATAATAACGAATAAATAGAATCTCTATTTCACTGTGAGTCACAAAAAAAAAATGGTGAGTCGGGGATCGAACTCGGTCCTTTTTGTTCGGAGACAGAAGCTCTACTGGCTAGGCTACATCCAACTGTTAATATTCATGAAATACAATTCTACTTGACTCTACTACTCTACTTGACGAGCGAAACCAAAAAGTTGACATGTTAAAATCTGACAAGAAATGGAATGGGGTAAATTCCTAGTTTTACTCTTAATTTTTAGCGAAACTTTAAGGCCATTGCGCACCGCCTAAACGATGAAATACAATTTTTCTGTTTTCGCATAAATTTATTGGACACAGAAACCTACCATTTAAGATGCTATGCTCAGTTCACCTTAAAGAAGTCCACCCTAGTGTCCATAGCTGCATAAAAAAAACTGCAAACATTTTTTGAGTAAAACCAATAACATTCCACAGCAACATGATTGGACAATATTCTAAAAAAAATCTCATTTAAATATTCCATTAGAGTTCGCTAAGATCTGGTGTTGAATGAACTTTCCCAAAATTCACTTCTGTTTTTGTCCTGAGCGAATAAGGATCCAATTTTTTTTTAATTTAAAGGTGTGCAAATGTCCCGAGCGACATTTGAGATTATTATTTTAAAAAGACTACTGTAATATTTTGTTTTCAACATCAAAAATAACGTTCTTTTTACTCTTGTCCACAAAGGGTATGCATGTTAATAATTCTGGAAAGCAAATTAACTGTTATTTGTTCATGTCTATAAAGTGCATAAAAACCAGTTAAATTGTTGATTAAAACTTGTACAAATCTCAGTAGGCCTTTTAAAATAAAAATCTCAAATAACGGTTATGTACGGTCCCTGGTAAAAACGAATACAAAAACATGCCAAAGCCAATAGAAATGTACATTTTTACATCGATATTCCCAAAAATCGATATTTCTCTACCTCTAATAGGCTGGGGTGTTGTAGGCCTGACAAACACTGTGCAACATTTTTAGGGTTATAAATATATAAATATTTAGTAGCTTATTTCGATGACTACTTTCTGCCCATGAAATCAAAATTGCGATTACATTTTTATACCCGTTACCCGGTCGGTGTCCAGGCCTGCCACCATTTTATTTCGATAAATGAGGCTTTTCTAAGCACAAGTTGTCACTACGCCCATAGTTCATCAGCTCTGGTATTTGCGGTATCTTTAATTTAAGAAAATCACAAATTTTTTTCGTCTTTTGGGATATATCTTCAAGAGTAGTAAACCAATTTTGGTAATCTTTTTGGAATTAAATAGTTACAAGTCTCTTTTATACGGTCGTTTTGGAAAATTCAATCTATCTCAGTGACAGGTTTGGGCACTGTTTGTGAATCGTCACTGTGAAGGAAGTAAGAAAAACAATTTTAAAAATTCCAAAACAATTAACAAAAACCTGATGAGTGGCTTAAAAATTAAGTACATAAGGAATCTTTGGGTCAAAAATGCATTGTAGAAGAAAATATTTTTATTTAATTTTTAAACGCTGTTCACAAATGAAGATTTTTAAACTTTGCTGTGACTTTAAAATTTTAAATGCGCCCACCTTCTCTTGTTGTTGAGTTAGATTGAATTTTCCAAAACGACCGTATAAAAGAGACATGTAACTATTTAATTCCGAAAAGATTACCAAAATTGGTTGACCACTCTTGAAGATAAATCCCCAAAGACGAAGAAAATTTGTGATTTTCTTAAATTAAAGATACCGCAAATACCAGAGCTGATGGACTATAGGCGTAGTGGCAACTTATGCTTGGAAAAGCCTCATTTATCGAAATAAAATGGTGGCAGGCCTGGACACCGACCCATGTCACATTTTGTCGGCCTGTGTTATTAGATAGTCGGGACACCAACCCGAGTACAGCGTTCGCATTCTCTTTAGCTGAGTGACGGGTATTAGACAGTCGGGACACCAACCCGACTATAGCGTTCTCTCTTGTTCATGTTGCACTGTGAAACTATTTCGTATGGAAATTGTTGTTGGAACTGCTTACTCGTTTAAACTTTTCAAACGTTTGCAACGTAATTAAATACCCTAAATGCTTTCGCTTTGAATTTTAAACTTAAAAATTCGTAAAATTCTTGGTTTGTTTTTGCTGTCTAAGCATTTTAAAAGTGCCACTCCTTAATTTTTGAATCCACAACCGAATTTATTGTAAAAACAAAGCCAAATCACACAGTTACGGTCAAAATAATACACACAAAACAATTTGCTTGGTAAAACTGACCAATGAAGATAGTTCAGTAACTATACAAAATAGTACTTTAACACAAAAAATAGTCGTCCGTGTATTTTTTTTTGCTTTTCGTACTATTAAATAGTTAAACTACTATTAAAATAGTAGCGCTTACGGGATGTGTGTTTTTGTTTTGGCACCTTGCTACTATTTTTAATAGTTTTTTAACTAGGAACGTAACTTCTTTAATATAAAAGTATGCAACAGTAATTTAACAACGATAACAGCGATGCCTTGAATATAAGGATCGAAAAAAAAAAATGTTAAAAAGTTATAGCTTTGATGTTTTATCTTCTACTATTGGGGATATTATTTTTTAAATATTTCTGAATTTCGAAATGAAATGGAAAATGAAATGGAAAATGAAATGGAAATTATTAGGAAAAAAATTATATCTTTGTTGATTTTTATTACATTCTTTTCCTTACTGGGATATACCAATTCTTTAATATTTCAAAATTTTGAATAAAATTTAACAAAACTCGGACGTCTATATTATACAGCTCCCATCTTTTCTTGTTTTAATATTAATTATAAATTAATTTGCTCCAGTGAAATAACTATAAACAATTGTACTTTTATGGTTAATTTATGATTTGGGCACATTCAACCATTTTTTACAGTTGCGTAACTATTTTGTATAGTAACCCTTACGTTTACGTATTACATAAGAGTAACTATTTACTTGGTAGAATTGACAATTTGTTTGGTCAATTTTACCAATTTTTTTCTGTGTAGTTTAGTTCTTAAATGTTTGTTGTTTTAATTTATCTTCTTTTAATTATATTTTATTGATTATCATTTAATTATAAGACGAATTGGATAGGATAAATTACATCAAAAAACTTTAACAAATATATGGTATTACTATGCTTTCTGTTGTGAACATCTTTTTTTAAAAAATCCTACAATAATTTTGGGAGTGAGATTTGAAAGATAAGTTGTGGATCTTTTAAAATGAACGCAGTTCATATTGAAAATTCTAAGGGAATACGATTTTATCGCATCAATCAAGGGACATTTTTAATGTTACATAGTGTAATAATAATTTTTACACTTTATTTTTTTCGATCAGAAATGAGGAATATCATTAAAACCATAAGTTTAAAAATCATGGTGGAAATGGATAGATTATTTAAAGAAAATCACTTTGGTGTTTTCGATTAAAAGAAAATAAAAATGCCAATTAATACAAACCTTGTTCGGTGTTTGAACATTACTGCACTTCAGTTGTGCTGTCAGTCTGTAGTTACTCTTGCTGGAAGTGTTTAAACTGTTGCAAACTAAAGGCGTAGAGACTGAATACACGCACTGGTGACCAAGTCGGTGCTGCTCAAAGTCTTCTCCAGTAGTCTTGTCATTGTACTGAGTTGATGGTGTCTGGTTAAGCATGCAATGCGAGGAGGAGGCACAGGCCGAGAGTGATGGTACCCCACTTTTAATGACTTTACTCTCGGAAGATAATATGTTAGACGATTCAACTGGGATAGAGCCACTATTATGAGCTTCCACATTTTTAATACCATGTTTTCGAATTAATGAGCTAGATGTTGAGTTTACAGACCCATTTTTTGTTATTTTTGTTCGCTTTTGTGATAATGGTATAGGAAATTGAGACTCGTAAGAGCTATTAGATATTCCGGAGTCGCTCCGATAAATGGTAATGCGCTCAGGCTCTATTAACTTCAAATCAGCAGCAATCCCTTCATCCTTTTTTTGCTGGTGGCGGTGATGCCGGTGGTGATGTTTCCTTATTACATCTTTGCCTAAATGACTGTCGAGCTGAACAGTAGCTCGGTGTTGATTAGAATTGAATATTAAATCATTGCTATCGATTTTTATTGATTCTGTACTTTGATCGGCTGTGCCTTTAGCGACCATATTCTCGTAAGCAGGCGGATCATAGATGCACACGGGCTGAACACTCGGGTCAATATCGCTTTGGCTATTACAAGCGATGAAATTATGCGTCTTGCACGTTGATAAAGAGCAAACGTCAAGTGCGGAGGGTGTATGTGATGGAATAGAACCTAATGAGTTTTCATTATATGACCGATTTTTAAGTTTGCTACCGCCTGGAAACTTTAGCGAATAAAACTTGTTCTCCACATCTAAAACGCTTTTGCTGTATTTTTCACGTGGCATACTTCCGGATAAATCTTCTCCGTCTTCACCGTATTTCTTAAAGTTAGTGACATCCAGAAAGGGGTTAGTGCTTAGCAGTGCTGAGCGCGGAATAGATGGTGATCGGCACATCGAGGGGTAACTGGGCAGACAATCACGCTCTATGGCATTGGTTAGCTGATCGTCGGAAAAGGAATTCGTGTTAAACATCTGAGTTGTTCCAGCTTGCAATTTTATTTGGATTTGATGCTTTTGCTGATTTTGTTGGGTGTACTCAGAATAACTTTTTGGGAAGCAATTGGTTAGGTTAAGTTGATTGGAGTCGAGTTCAGTTAGCTTTTGATTATTTTGATCAGTGGACGATGGGCAGGGGATGGTGTTGTTCTGTGATCTGTGACCATGATCACAAAAATGTTGTTCCTGGATTAATTGTAGATCTTGAGTATTCTGACGATCTTGCTGATGGTTGACCGATGGTAGATTGATATTTGCATTAAGTCCCTTGAGTCTTTGAGCTGTACGCATCGCACTTGTGTTGTTATTAAAATTTGTAGGGGTAGTAGAGGACTGGGATCCATTTTAAAAGCAACATGAGTTAGTTGGGCAGAGCACACGGAAAAATAAAGGAACAGATAAAATGATATTAGCTTGATTGTTAGTTTTTGTTTTGCTTTAAAGCATTATATCGTATGTTAACATCTTGTTGTCAGTTTTAAAATGTTTGCTAGCGAACAACAATAAAGACTTAAATATTGCAATGACAATTTAAATGAAAGGGAAATAAGATATACCTTTAAAACTATTCGATGTTGATTTAGCTAACTATGTACACAGAAAAAATTGTGAAACAGGTACAAAAATATGGTCAAAACGTTTTAACAATCCAAAGTAAAACTAAATTTATATGAAGCATTTTACTTTTTAAAAAGTTTCACCACTTTTTTTGCACCGAAAACTTTTGCTCTGCGTAAATAATTATTTACAAATATTTTTCATATTATTACTTATCCAATAATAAAGAAACTATAATTAATTTTTAATATATTACTTAAATATATAAGAAATATTTATTTAAACAAAATTTTAATACAATTCATTGGCGGCAGCACTTATAATTTTTTATTTATTTAAACATGAAATTGTATTCCAAGTAACTAAAGTAAATAATCGAATGTGAAACAAAAGTTAAATATGATTGAAAATACAATCATTTTCAAAAAAAAAACGCTTTTAATCAAAGCAACCAAAAGTTCAGGGAAAAAACATTTTTTTTTAATTTGTAATAAAATAATTGCAAAACATAAAACAAATAAAAAAATACAAAACAAAATAAAACTCTATAGTCGAATGGTTCGACTATCAATTACCCGTTACTCTTTAAAATAGATATGCCTTCAGATACTATACAGGTAAGGCCTTTTAACAATCGAGTAAGGGATATAAATGTGGATTCAAGTAAGTCTAGTGAGTAAAAAATTGTAATGCAGTATTAGAAAGAAGATAAATATGTTATTTATACCTTGTTAGGTGCCGTTTGCAGACCATGAAATGGAAGATTCTCATACTCGCCAGGTTCCGTCAATGGTTCCCCCAGTGAAGACGACTTGTCGTGTACTATGAGGTAATACGGTACGAATTGGTTGTTTTTTTAATATTTTTCCCAGGAATTTGTATATTTGATTTTGGAAGAAAACGAGAAAAAAAGTAAAAGAAATAATTAGAATAAAGTATATTAATAAAAATATTAAAAATATGTCGAATGTAATTTAAAAACAAGAGAGAACGGTATAGTCGGGTTGTTGTCCCGACTATCTAATACCTGTCCCTCGGCTAAAGGGAGTGCGAGGGAGATGGATATATACAATTTTTTTTGATTGCGTATAACTTTTTATTGAATGGTCCGATTTGAAAAATGTCTGCTACATTTCGATAGGTTTAAGTATACACAACAAAATTGCATTTATACTTCTCGGAAATCTTTAAAGGTGTGGGCGCCAGACACATTTTAAAATTGTTAGTGGGCGACTGTGGGCGTTAGAGGGGGCGTGGCGCTCGTTTGAAATAAACTTGCGCTGCGTAGGAAGCCCAAGAATATGTGTGGAAAATCTCAACCTTCTAGCTTCTAGCATTCGGACGGACAGACGGACAGACCGACATGGCTATATCGACTCGGCTAGTGACCCTGATCGAGAATGTATATACTTTATAGGGTCGGAAACGCTTCCTTCTCCCTGTTACATACTTTTGCACGAGTACAATATACCCTTTTACTCTACGAGTAACGGGTATAAAAACTTTGTTATCCTTTATATTGTTAATAAAATTTCAAAATAAAAATGTATTTTATGTTTGTAAAGTAAAACAAGCAGTGCATTTATGTTTAAAACTTCAGGCATATGCGAACAACATAAAGTAAGTAAATAATATAAGATTAAATGATTAACAAATTTATTGAATGTAAAATGGAAAACATTTTAATTAAAATACTTACTATTGGGTAATTGTAAAACTTTTTTTATTGATTTTTTTAGTTTAAACAAGCTTATTCTTGTTATGCTACTATGGAACGCATTAGTGTTGAAACTATACATTTGAATTTAATTACACTGGTTGACAAAAAAATAGGCCAAGAATAGAAGCTACCAAACCTGAAAGAATTTTAGCTGTAGATTACTACCTTATACTTGGAATCTTTCCATCACGTCGCAGTTTTGAAAAATCCGTTGTCAAAGTTCCAATTTTTTGATTTTTAGGCACTTTATGCGGCTTAGTAGCAAGAGCCAAAATTTAACGGAAATGGTACTTTGAACCTTTAACTTTAAGAGTGTCCAATCACAAAGTTGGAAGACCTCTACTTCTTAAGCTTCAATGGATTTCATTGAAGTACCTTTTGTCACTTTTTTTCATCTACAGGTTTTTATTTTGCTCATATTTTCCTCACAAAATGTCAAAAACGAGGAGAAGAAAGCAGTATAAAGCTGATTTTTGTCGGAAAACATTTTCATCAGCCCTACTTGGTTACTCCTTATTTTTTTGTGACAAATATCACCGCCCTATGTTGAAATTATTTTATTTGAGCCAAATTACGGATTGTGAGGGATATTTTACGAATCTTGCTTCTGGCTAAGAGGACGTCATCAAACCCGCGTCCTGAGACAAACATTTAATCTGGTTACGGTACAAGAGAAACAGCATTAATAAGAATGGAGTGGAAAGCGAGTTTTCCACAAGTGTACTAAATGTACTATAAATGTCCGACATGAACCACCGTAGCTGGCAAAAAATAATTGAGATGCTAACCCTCAAAATTAAAGCGGATAAAATAATTCAAAAATAGCAGAATGAACCGAAGATTACAGTGAAAAATAAAAAGTGAATCTAAGTTAAGTACATTCAGTCACAAAAGCTTTCGTTGCGAGGTGTTTCGCAAACAAATTGATTTTTTTTAACATTAACGTAACATATTAATTATTTTATTAATTTTATCAGTTTCAACACATATTCGAAATATAAAAACAAAAAAAAAAACAAGAAAAGAAGCTACCTTCGGCCAGCCGAAGCTTATATACCCTTGCAGATAAAGTAATGCTCATTCGGTGCAGTTCCAGGACCTCCAGATTCAGCGTTTCTATTTAAATTTTGTTTTTAAGTAGTCAAGAATCAAAACGCCTACTTCCTACAAAGTAACAATGAATTTTCTTATATTTGTTTGAATATTCCTATGGGAGCCCTAAGATATAGTGGTCCGATCCGGCTCGCTCCGAAATATGTACTACCTGCAGTAGAAAGAAGACTTTCGGGAAAGTTTCATCGCGATAGCTTTAAAACTGAGAGACTAGTTCGCATAGAAACGGACAGAAGGGACAGACGGACATGGCTAGATAGACTCGGCTATTGGTGCTGATCAAGAATATATGGGCACTTCCAAAATGTCGCTCTGGACATTTGCACACCTTTAAAGTTGAAAAAAAATTGTAAAACAATGGATTTTAATTTAATTTATGGGCTTTTCTTTTCACTTGATCTTGATTTTGTACCACTTTTAGTTTTTAAGATATCGGTAAAAAACTGCCGTATTCGCTCGGGACAAAAATAGAAGTGGATTTCGGGGAAGTTCATACAACACCAGAAAATAGCGAATTCTGATGGAATATTTTAATGCGATTTTTTTTAGAATGTTGTTCAAACATGTCGCTGTGAAATGCTTTTGGTTTTACTCAAAAATTCTTTGCCGTTTTTTTTTTTACAGCTTCAACCACATTCGCTCGGGACATGTCGCTCGGGACATTTTTTCCGACTGTTTTGTAAAGCGGATTTCTTTACCTCTATCTCTCAATTGCTGGATGTTTTGCTTTTAACTTAATAGTTTAGCATGTAAATGAAGCATTCACTACAGAAAAATGTCACATATTAGCATTCCTATAGGATAAATTAACAACAGAAGACAGTTCCAAAAAATAACAAAAAAATAGCCAAAAACTGATTTTTGCGTATATTGGTCAGGTTTGTCATAAAAATAATCAAACTATACTCCAAATTTGTAGTTAAGCTCAGTATCCAACTAACTAGAAACTAATATCGGGGCAAAATCATGTGGAAATGTGTTTTATTCAAGTTTCAAGGTTTTTGGCTTGGTGGACTTTTTTTTGGAAGAGCCCATATATACTTTATGTGGTCGGAAACGCCTCCTTCACTGCGTTGCAAACATCTGAATGAAAAATATAATACCCCCTACAAGGGTATAATGAACAAAAAGTAGCTTTATTACTGAGTGATCCTTTGTGAAACGTATCGAAATTTTCTTAATGGCCTCAAAACGATATCTCATTTTCATCACGATATTACACCATTTAAATAGGATTTTTAAAATAGTAAAAAAAAATCTATTTGAAAACAAGAGAGAACGCTATAGTCGGGTGCCCCGACTATCAGATACCCGTTACTCAGCTAAAGGATAAAAACTTTGATCCGCCGTAACTTCTTAACGAATGGTCCGATTTAAAAAATTTCTTATACATTTCGATAGGTATTGATAAACACCTTAAAACTGCATTTTTACTTTTCCGAAATATTGAAATTTGTAAAATCGTATATAAGCGATTGTGGGCGTTAGAGGGGGCGAGGCACCCTTTAGACGGACAGACGGACAGACGGACAGACGGACATGGCTAGATCGACTCGGCTAGTGATCCTGATCAAGAATATATATAACTTATAGGGTCGGAAACGCTTCCTTCTACCTGTTACATACTTTTGCACGAATCTAGTATACCCTTTTACTCTACGAGTAACGGGTATAAAAACGAAGATATGGCGATGCTTTATTTTTGCTTATTTTATTTATAACTGTAAATTACGTGGGGTAAAAAATAAATAAATATACTCAAAAATGATTATTTTTGCCAAGCTTTCAGATAAAAATAACACCCATAATGGTTCCAGTGCAAAGTATGGTCCAAACTTAAAATAAATAATTTCAATCGCTGTTTTCTTTAACTCGGCATTTTCAATCTTTATAAAAAAAATAGTATAATGTTCTATACATAGTCCTTGTTGGCCACTGAAAGTTTCGACATTGGACCTCCCTTACTTTCTGCATAATGGAATAAAACAATAAAAAACAAAGCAGTCTTTCCTTGTTAAACATTTTTAATAATGTTGTAACGAACTGTTTTTAACCGTTCTGATCGCTACGAAAACTTTGCAACTAGCTGAGACATATATTCGTCCCACCTAATTTATATTGTGTGACCGCCCGAGACTCACGAAAATGCAAGATATCCGATTGGAACATATCGGCTGCGCTCCTGGTGGATGACGCACCTCAGTACCTTTTCCTTTTAAATTGTAGCCGCCTTTCACCTTTTCTCATAAATCCATTACTATACATTTTAATTATTTATTGAACATCCTATTTTTTTAGAATGCACTAAAATATATTTTTTAAATTAAGTAGCAAGAAGTTATGGTCCCACGTCGAAATTGGTAGGGATTTCTTTGTTGTACCAAACTAAGGTCAGTCGAGCCCCACCCCGCATTACTCCGATCAGGTTAATTTTTTTTCAAAATTTCGTGCTAATTTGGTGCTAATTTCGGGCCTAATTCGCGAATTTCGTGCTCGAGTGAAAAACATGTTTTTAAATACCCAAAATGCGGGGTGTAGAACGGCAAACGGCCTACACCCCGCATCAAGTTCTGATCATACAAGATGAAAATGAAGTACCACATAATTTCGTGCTAATTTTGTGCTGGCTAAATCCAAAAGCCCGACTTTCATGCTCAACGAGAACATTTTTTTTTTAAATTTTCAAAATGCATTTTGTTCTGATCATACTAGATGAACATGAAGTACCACATAATTGTACCCGTTTATGTTATTAGTCTAAAATTAAATTCTTTGAATTGTGCATAATTCTATTATTAAAGATTCATTTTTATTACACAAACAAAACTTCTGCGCTCTTCAGTAAATTATCTGTAAGGATCACAAATGCTTGCATTAAATTCGTTTTTCGGTCTTTTCATTTCTTATTGGTTCTATAGTTCATCCTTCCTGTTGACTCTTCAGCAATAAAATTAAATAAAGTTGAATTAAATAAAAAAAAAAAAACTAA